TAGTAAAACTACTTTATAAATGACCATAAAAAAGACTAAACACATAAATAATATCCACACTGGAGTTTGGAACAGTGGGTCAGAAACTTGCGCTGGAACGCTATTTTTACGCAAGCGATGGTGAGTAAAGCAAACGATTTAAGTAATGTAGTTAACAACAAACTATATTTTGAGAGGGAAAATAAAGAAAATAACCCATTTCCTTGTCTGGCACAATTTTCTCCAAAGCGGCCTGTCAGCAGCGCAGCAACAAACTGCAGCTTCGTTTGGACAGAAACAATAATGACAAACTCAGCGCAATTATTTGCCAACACTGGCAGGAAAAGTTATCTGCTCTGGGCCAATTATAGGTGAGCATTTGGACCGGACCTGTAAAGGATCAAGGGCTCCTTTATTTTATTTTATTTTCTCTCCTCAACCCATCAGTGTGCATCTGGAGATCGGATGGTCGCTCACAGGTTTGAGCCAGAGATGCGCCACAAAATACAAAATTCTTATTTTATTTTTAAGCTGATTTGGTCGACCCGGATGGAATCAGAGCCAAAACGTTTTTTGCACGTCAGGCAGGCTCATGATGAGCCGGACCCAGAGCTGGAGAATTTGCGTAAACCCTCCGACTGTTGGGGTTGTGTGCACTGCTCCCCATTTAAATACTTTATTAACTTATTATCAAGAGCTTGTTCTCATTTTCAAATCATTGTACAAGTTATGAACTGTACTGCCTTTTGGAGAATACTTCACCAACAGAAACATCAACTCCAGCCTCCTTGCGACGCATGTGCGCATCATCAGCTGAGCGCTGCGCAACAAAACCGAGCCATGTGGATCTGATGACTTAAACAGATTTAGTCCTGATCTTAATGCTGTCTGTTTTGTCTGTGCCTCTGTCTGTATCTGGACAGAGAGACATCCGTCAGTCAGCGTTGGATGCAGCCTGTAAATGTCTGTGGGCCCCGCTGATGGGCAGGGCCGTAAAGTGGGGGGGCCAATGGCCCCCTGCCCCCCCATTCCGGCGCCGGTGTCCACATCTGTCCTGGTAAAGCTCCACAGTTTTTATCAGTCAGGTTCCTCCATGCACAACATCTGTTTAATCTCATTCATGAGTTTTTCACGGAACAAAGCTCTGCTTCCTGGTCGGCTTGGGGAGCGGGTCTTTTTTTTTTTTACTGAGTGGTTGAAGTAAATGCAGCGCATAGCGCTTTCAGCACAAACACGCATGAGTTTTTCTCTGTTTGTCTATCTTTAAAACTGCTCAAAACAGTCTGCTCTAGTCAGAAGCGAGTTTTTTTTCTTCTGCTGTGTCCGACCGAGCGCTTTCAGTAGCACAAACAAACACACCCACGAACCAATCACACATTACCGTCGCACACGGGGTGGGGGGTCAAAAGTTCTGCCGGGGGGTTGTGCCAAAAGGGGCTGTCGACGTGACGCTGCAAAGCCCGGTGACATAATTTTTGTCATTAAACTGCGACAACCCATGCCGACATCGGCAGTTCTGTGCAAGTAAGTTTCCAGCTTTTAGGCTTCTTAGTAATGGCATTTATCAAAGCATTCAGGATACCAGCAAATTAAACTTATACATGGGCAATGTTTTCAAACCAACTTACATCAAATCATCCACAGTTTTGTGTCAATGAACACCTATGTATGTGCAAAACACGTAAACTCAAGCATTTCTAGGTAGCAGCATACCTAGACAATGAAACTGAAACACCTGTCATTTTAGCGTGGGAGGTTTCAGGGCTAAATTCGACCAGCCTGGTGGCCAGTCTTCATTAATTGCACATCGCACCAGTAAGAGCAGAGTGTGAAGGTTCAATTAGCAGGGTAAGAGCACAGTTTTGCTCAAAATATTGCAATGCAACATTATGGGCGACATACCAGAGTTCAAAATAGGATAAATTTTTGGTGCACGTCTTGCTGGTGCATCTGTGACCAAGACAGCGAGTCTTTGTGATGTATCAAGAGCCACAGTATCCAGGGTAATGTCAGCATACCACCAAGAAGGACCAACCACATCCAACAGGATTAACTGTGGACAAAAGAGGAAGCTGTCTGAAAGGGCTGTTATGGTCTAAAATCAGGACTTTCAGGTTTTTTGTCTAACCTCTGTACACTGCCTGCCCCACCAAAAAGTTGCCCCCATAAAAAAGAAGGTCACACTCTATTTTGTTGGACCACCTTTAGCTTTGATTATGGCACATATTCACTGTGGCAGTGGCGCCGGAATAGGAGGGCAGGGGGCCATTG